CTTGATCCCACAAAAGTATAAAAATCAACACAACTGTAAGATCCTTCAACAGGATTTCCTCTCTGGTGCTTTTCTACCTCAAGAATTGGAGAATTACAGGAGGTTTCCTTCACACCAAGTCTACTGATCTTACGTGAATGTTTTCTGACCTTTAGCAGACTGTAAAGCAAAACCCAACACAGACCTGCTTTTCTGAAGCTACCAGAATATTTTTTCGTATTGCATTCACTGCATATCCAAACACTGTTGTGTGTTAGGATGCTATATGTAACAAAACATCAGCACTTCTCTGGCAACTCACAGGCATTCTCGCAGTACTTTTTAATTATAACATCAAAGGCCAGTAAGTAGAGAAGTATAAAACAAACTATCAATTACGTCTGAAAAGAGCTTAACAACATCATTAAAAGGCTGGAACAACAGATACTAAGGAAAATCTTTCTTTAAGCACGAAAACGTCAGTTTTTAGAAGACAAAACTACTGTTAATTTTTCAAAAAATAACTTCTACTCAAGATGCCTATGGCACAGAGATACAATTTCTTTAGTTATTACACAGGTTAGGGAAAATTTTTATCAAAGCCTGCCTCCTTGTGTTTGCAGAGTGATATCTCGAAATAGTCAATCAGTTAGACTCATCTAAGTTTTTAACATAAGAAAGTTATAAATCACTTATTTTCCATGTGCTAGGCAATCAGTGTAACATTCTTTACTGGTTTTCCCTTATAGCTATTCAATCAGCTGACCTTTACTGAACCTGAAACAGCTACATACTTCATGAGAACGATTAACAAAAGAATGGGAAATTTGAGAGAAAAAGTATCATATGGGAGGCAAGCTTTTTAAAAGAAAGGGGTAGATTAGCACAGTGCTGAACACTTATATAAACCAAAAAGTGTGTCTCATCTATTTAAAAGGAGAATTATTTTGTGAGATCATGTCCTGTACAACTTTAAAAAATAAGCTTGTTTTTGTTTTATTTTATTTTTATTTTTTATCATTATTTCTCTACAGTCTATATTCCAAGTAGAACAAATTTTACAACCATGTAAATTTATGGCACATACTGTCAGGAAGACAATATATTTTTATTGCTTCAATCAATTATATCCATCTACTAACAGTGTCTAGGGCTAAAAAAAGTAATCGTTCACAAACAGTTATAAAGCTATTGATAATGGGCTGCTTTGAATTTGAATACCTAAAAATGGAGATTAGCATGAAGGCTTTGAAAGGAATACAGAAGATTACCAAGAATAAAACATTTTTTAAATTTTTGTAGTGTTTCTAGTAAGTACCTCTACAAAAAGCATCTGTGATGTGTTATGGTGCACAAGAGCATTAATGTTGTTCTTCTACTTTTCATGTGGAAAATGTAGCAGTTGAAAAACACAATCTCTGCTGTAGCTATCCATATTGTGTAAAACAGATTAATATTAATCCCATTAGTTTATTTAAATCAACATATGCCAGCAATATAAAAAAAGAATGAGTCCTGTCTTCACTGCAAGCCACTGTGTCATGTTCCTTTTATCTTTGTGTGGGAGCACAGCTGTTTAAGCAGTAGTGAACTGGCCTGGCTGAAAAACAGCTTACTGTTGTTTTTCATCACACAATTACATCAATGTTTGCTTCTGAAGCACATTAGGGTTGCCAATGAGAGGCCAGAGGAGGACTACACTATCTTCTTTAGGTGGCAGTGATGGCTTATGCTAGTTTAATGCTTCAAATGAACAATACCCAAAAATAAATTAAAAAAAAAAAAAGGTAGATGTAAATAAAAAGTGTTAACTGCAAATCAAATTCCCAGCTTCAAGAACACATCTCAGAAACCCCTGGATGCCAATGAGAAATAAAATTAGTAAGATGAGCAGTAAATAGTTGCTCCTCACTATTTTATTGCTAAGCTATAAAAAGTAGTATTATAGGTTATAAACAAACCTTAGAGAAATTAATTTGTTTCTGGTATTAAAATCAGTTTGTGAAGTACCTCTCATTATCAGGAATATATAAGTGGAATTGAAACAAAATACACATAAATCAAAACCCAGCAAACATGTCCATACTAAAAACTACTGTGCCATGGAAACATTAATAACAGGACCAACCCTTTTGGCTAGTAATGAACCATTCCTGGTAACATTCCAAAGCTAAAAACACCTCACTCTTCATACTGATGGTTACATCCATCATGTGACTAAAATTCAGACATTCTCCCTCATGCAGTGGCTGTGCAAGCAGCCTTGTGACAAAACACACAACACTGCTCCAGCACAGGATGCCACAGGATTCCCTCAGCTGGCTGCTGTACCACACCACCCTGCTGGTGCCACCAAACACGAGGTGCCGGTTACACTCCCATAGACAAGGCTAGTAGAGGAATGCTAGTAGAGGGATGCCATGTCCCAGCACACACCAAGGTTTCCTCACACTGCTCCTTCCACACATTACAGCAAACATATAGCGAGCCCCTTGTTCCAAAGAATCAACGTAAGTGTTTAGGTTTTTTCAGTAAAGCATCTAATGAGGAACACTGCTTTAACTCCACATACAATTTGTGCTTTTTCAAAAGGTTTTTCAAAAGGTTACCTTAAATGTATCCTGAAAATTTGTTCTACACCCAGATTCACACTTTTAAATAAACCTATCCTTTTAGGAAAGCTTTTATTATTCATTTTTCTGAAAGTAGAAATATTAATAATTAATACTTCAGCATTCCACATAATTGTTTCAGATGCACAATGTTCAAAATTCATGGTTCATAAATCTTGTTTGTGCTTGAAAGCCAGAACTAAAACTCCTATGAAACAGAAATTGTGCATGATAGTAAACACAGAGAAACTCATCAACTACCGGAGCAAATAAGTGTCATCAGTGGAACACTGGTGAAAATTTATTCTTTTGTGTATTTAGTGGATCCAAACAAGACCTGTCTTGAAAAAAAGGTATCACTGCTTTTTTCTTTATGTATTAATGTAATAAGAAAGATATGGCTAGAATAGTCTTCACTACACTCAGTAATGAATCAGATGTACTGAAGTACTCAAATGAAAAACCATGATACGCAAATGTATAGGCTACTAAAACCAGACAATGCAAAGAACTTTACAGAAAATGCTAATTATTCTATGCAATTATTTTTTTCCTGGACACTAAGACTCCTTTCAGAATGGGAAAGACTTTAAGAAAAATAGAGATCTGCCACATTTCTGTTCTAAAATAAATACCAACTTGCATTTTGTTACAGATAGTAAATGCTAGTATTTTTATCGCATAGCTAGATAGGGTGGTTACATCTGATTAAAAAAAAACCCAACAAAATCAAACACAACAAGGAAATGAAAATAAAAAACACTCAACCCAGTGCACCTTGACCTAACTGGTATGATTTATCTGTTGTTTTCCCAGTAAAAAATAGTGAGTACTACTGAGAACATCCAGTGTTCTAATATATGGCTACCTCACTTCTCTGGTGGCACTTTTCCACATTAGCACAGTATTCCTGCGTAACACACAAAATTTAAAACTGTTCTTCTGACACTGAACTGACAGTTCTTTCCAAGCTTTTTGAAGCCTGAATTTCATAAATTCACCCTTTTAAACTTAAGATTGCCTTACAAATTAAAAGTACCAGTTCTACCTCTATTTTTTTTAAACTCTTTTTGGAGACAACCTATTCACAAGTAAATCCCCCAAATTATCTCTTCAAGTCTCAATAAAATAACCAAACACAAACATACATTTCTGGTGATCTGCTAGCCTTAGAGATTTTCCAAGCATAGTGATTAACTGTGGCAGGAATTTAAGACTACTAACAGGCTTCCATTTCCTAATTAACTGTAGGAAGCCTCGTAGAAAGGCTCACAGACCACCCTGACAAGTATTAGAAGCCATAAATCAGCTTGAAAAATTTACAAATTAAGTTGAAAGATTGACAGCAAGAGAAAATTATTTTTGCTGTGTTCATTTCAAAGAAGTGAAGATCCAGTTACTCTCTTAGAAAACCCTGAAGAAAACCCTTAACTTCTCAGTTGAAAATGTGACAAAGCCTCACAGAAAATAAAGTGTACACTATTAATGGAAGGAAGGAGTCTCAAACCCAAACTGCTTACTCGGATACAGGATAGAAAGCAGATCTTTCCATCAAGAGAAAAACTCTGCTAAGACTCTCGAATGTTAAGTTTCTGCGATACTTATTAGGACTACTCCAACACAGAAGACTTGACTTTATACACCTGCGTAAGATCATGTATTTTAGGCTGCCGACCCATCCACTGAGATTGCAAAGAGGCTTAACTGCAAACACAGAGCACATGAAAGACGGGTCGGGGCTTGCAGCTGCAGGGGCAGACGAGGGAGACCGTACACACCCTGCACCGCCCCACAAGGTGCGGCTTTCCCCCCCCCCCGCTCGGCCGTACATCCGCCGGCCACTCCGCGCAACCCCACGGGTCAGGCGGGCAGCAGGAGGGGCGCGTTGCTCTTGTGGCCGGGGTGGGGACCTCCTCCCATCCATCCGCCCGCCCCCCCCCCCCCCCTGCCGTCCCCCCGCCGGCCACTCCGCGCAACCCCACGGGTCAGGCGGGCAGCAGGAGGGGCGCGTTGCTCTTGTGGCCGGGGTGGGGACCTCCTCCCATCCATCCGCCCGCCCCCCCCCCCCCCCTGCCGTCCCCCCGCCGGCCACTCCGCGCAACCCCACGGGTCAGGCGGGCAGCAGGAGGGGCGCGTTGCTCTTGTGGCCGGGGTGGGGACCTCCTCCCATCCATCCGCCCGCCCCCCCCCCCCCCCTGCCGTCCCCCCGCCGGCCACTCCGCGCAACCCCACGGGTCAGGCGGGCAGCAGGAGGGGCGCGTTGCTCTTGTGGCCGGGGTGGGGACCTCCTCCCATCCATCCGCCCGCCCCCCCCCCATCCGCGGGGGGCGGCAGCGGGGCGGGCCGGGGGGCGAAGCGCCGGGCCCAGGGGTCGGCGGGGCGGGGCGGCGCTGCGGCCGCCTCACTCACAGTAGTACGCCACCACCGGCTCCCGCCTGTCCAGCTCCTGCGCGGTTCGCAGATGGTGCTGGATGCTCTTGAACTGCGGCGGCAGCGGGGGAAGCGCCGTGGCCGCCATGGCACGGGCGGCGAGGCCGAGCAGCCCCAACCGGCGCCCGACAGCGGCTCTGCCTGCCCGGCCTGGCGCCCGCCGCTTCCGCTTCCGGCACGGGAGGCCCGGGGCGCCCGCGCGGTGGGGGTCCGCGCGCCCGGGAAGGGAGAGCGCCCCCTGCTGGGCCGGAGGGGCGAGGCGGGCGGTGCTCCCGGGTCTCGGTGAGGCAGAGTCAGCCTGGGCTGTCCCCGGGCTGTGTCGCCGGGCTGTGTCCCCGGGGGCTGTGTCCGGGCGCTGCAGCCGCACGGCTCCTTAGTGTTTGAAACGGAGACCTCGCGGTGGCCGAGGCATCCCCGGGCCCAGCCGGAGGAACCGCGGGCGAGCGGCGACCGAACCTCCCGTGTCTGGCTGCCCCTTCCTCGGACGGGTCAGGCTCAAGCAGCGTCCTGACCTCCCCGCAGGGGTTAAGCTGCAAATCAAATGTCATTTCGGATTGAAAAACCTTCCCCTTGGGCTGCGCCGAGGCTGCCCCGAGGCCCGGGAGGCGCTGACCCGCAGCTCAGCTCCCGCCTGGGCCCTCCTTGTGCGGCCCGGGGGCTGCCTTGCCCTGCTGCCCAGCCCGGCTGCTGCCCAGCAGCTCTCTGCAGATCTGGCAGGCCTGGCAAGTCCCTCTGGCAGGATCACCGCTTCCCAGATAATTTTTTTTCCTCCCCAGAACCCCTAGGGATTTCTCCTGTTGATGAGATGGGATAAGAACGAGAAAATAATTAAGAACCAAAATGGTTTCAAATGGACTTCACAAATTGCAGTATAAATTATTTGGGGTCTGGCATCTTCTCATTCTGACAGCATAGCTAAATGGTAGTTTAAATTTCTTCTCCAGCCCTGTTTTAACCCCACTGCCAAATGTCTTGGTCTCAAAATGGTTGTCTGCAAGGCAGTACAAAGTCAATGCTCCCAGGGCGTGAAGGAAGGTGAGTGTTGGAGGGAAGGAGAGGGGTAGGAGAAGTGGCTGCATTGTGTCATTACTGTCATGGGAGGGGTAGGAGAGGTGGCTGCATTGCATCGCTACTGTCATGGGAGACTGCTGAAAAGAGAACAGAATAGAAACGGTGGCTGAACAGATTAAAGGGAGACAAGGAAGGAACAGAACAAGGAATGGTAATAGGACTAGATGTCTGGTGATGTACTAGAAGTTGGCTGGCCCCAAGCAATTATACCTTAGATGTAAAGGCAGTGGCGTCACTGATTTAGCTTGTTTCATTGGAGATTGTGGAGGGAACAATTACGGCTCTTTGTTAAGTGACAACTGAAATGAGCGTGATGTCTGGCTAGAGACAAAACTGACTGCAAACTCATGAGCTGGGGATTGCTTAGAGTGCTGTCTGTGAAAATGAGGTGGCTAGAGTATGCTGGAAAACAATGAAAAAGTCAAAGGAGCACATATAATGTGGCCCTCGTGTAAGCAAAAATACTTCCTACTGTGTTCTGGGAGACAGGACTTCATGTTCGCTGTGTAAAGAAAGAGGGTTGAATAAAAGAATCCCCAAGTGTATTATATAATTCCTTTCATAATGCAAAAAAAGAAAAAGCTTTCAGGATCATCTCAAAATATTTGCTAAGCATTTGAGCTAAAATCAATGCAACACTGAGAAACACATGCAGGCATGCTATAAATCTCAGAGGGAGTAAGTGTGGATGGAAGCTGAGAGCAAGCAATGTAAATGAGGATAAAAGTGGTGGGAGTTCGAAACACAATGAGAAAGAAAAGTTTAGAGACTCTTGAGAATACAGTAAGTGCCAGGAAAACAAACAGTAAATATAGGAGAGAGAATTGTTGACAACCATGGGGAAATGGCTTATTTACATGGACATAGTATCTCCATCAACGTGTTCCAGAAACTAATGATGGAATCAGTCACATAAAAACATTGCCACTAAAAGGCAGTAAAGCACATTTCATTGTTAAATGAAAAACTGAAACGGAGGAATTTGACAATTTTAATTTCACAGGAAAGGCAGAGAAGTTTGTATTGTATCTGATTTGGAAGAAGAACACATTTTATTATGTTTCAGTTTGACCACCAAGTGAAAGGGCATGGTGTTGGATGATCCAGCTCCTAGAAGCTCCACCAAGGTCTTCAGGCAGTCCTGTGCCAGTCCTGTCCCTTAATGGTAACAGGGAAGACTGAGGGGCTGGGAGTTTTGGAACTCCCCTGACCTTTCTGAAGTGTTTTGAAATCTACAAGCAATGAAAAGATTAAATACCAGAGAAAATACTGACCAGGTTATGATGAAGTTACTTTATTATGGAAGTAAATTCTTCTTTTTAGTAGTAACATATATATATTGTATTTTATTTATAAATAAAAACATTTTTTACCTGAGATTGTAAGTTTAAATTGCAAAGAATAATTCCTGATGTATACAACAAAAAAATGAAGCATGTGTTGGCCAAAGCCTGTGGCATATTAAGCAAACAAGAAGTTAGCACAGCCATTCTTATTCCACTTGTAATGCTTGCAAATATAAAATAACTAGTTTAATATTGCACAGATCTGGTAGTTTTGACTAGACAAATATTTAAGACAACATATAACTGATTTCTAGGGAAAAAATAACACAACATTAATACTTGAATACAGTGAGCATATTGAAATTTTTTTTCTTGTTCTTGATCAGCATATTAAAAAAAAAATCACACATGTAGTTGTGAGCCACCTTGATTTAAATGGCCCAGAATCAATCCAATCCGTGACACCTAAATAAAGCAATTCCATTTATGTAAAAAGGACTAGTTTTGTGAGTGTGGATAACAAGTTCTTATAACCCAACCTTGTTTGGGACTGAAAAGATTTTGCAATAATTTTTCTAGAATTTTCCACATATTCCTGAAAGAACCCAAGTTTTACCACCAGGAGCTCTAGTTTTTATGTTTTTATGCTGATTTTTTTAAATATTTCTTTTTCATATAAATTCAACTTAATTCAATGAGCAAATATATTCTTCCCTTCAGTGTTACAGGCCTCAAACTGTTCAAAGATTCTGACTTTTTGACTTTGCTGGTTCCTGGATCTCTGTTGTGATGAGTCTCTTGTTTCACTGAGATTCAGAATGGGAAGTATTCAATCTAGTAACAGTAGAAGATTATGGAAGTGGAAGAAACCTTCCATTTTTATTTTTTTTTCCTAGAAACTGAGGATATTTGAAAAACAAATTGAAAATAGCTAATTTTTATGATTGCTACATGCACATATTTTATACAGGAAATCACCTCCTTCTTTCTTTCCAGTTCAGAAATCTGTTTGTTTGGGGTTTTTTTCTATTACCTCATTTAAGCACAAGGAATAAAATTGCTTCTAAGTTTAAGATGTCTATTAGTTCTTAAGAAAAAATTGTCACACATGAAAACATCTGATGCTATATAAAGTTCAAGACCTACTCTATCCAAATACACTTAGTGCATGGAATAATTTTAGTACACAGACTGCTTTTTAACTGTCATTCTAGCCACTGTAGTCAGAGCAGTAAGAGGTTTGTGACACACACCGCAAAAAATTCTGTGGGCCAATTTCTGAAGTCACACACAAGCAAAACTCCCACTGCAATCAAGGCATGGCTGGACCCAGAAAAGGCTTTTCTCCAAGTTTGTTTTTTTTTCCCAAATTTTTAAGTCTCTTATGCAAAACTAAGTCATAATCATGAGTGTGGTTCTCTTCTGCAACACTGCTTTTTGTCATAGCTTGAAATCACTGCTATAAAAATGCAGGTGGACAGGGTGGCAAATGACTAGGGGTGATTGACATCACTGATTTTTAAAGAAACCAAGCCTTCTACACAAGATCTCAAAAATTTCAGCAACACACAAGACCACTGTAATCACAGTAAATGTGTACATTGCAATAAGAAAAATCGTCTTTTCAAAGTGCTCGGGCACCATGCACCGGCTGATGTTAAACTTTTTTTCAAGTGCTCCCACATCACACATGTAGATTGCATTCACTTTGAAACCAAAGAGCTGAATCTGAAGCCAAAAAGCCACAGCTTCAAGGATAATCCTTAAGAGTACAGAGAAGATGTAAAAGCCACTGTAGAATGACTTTTGGAGGATATCTTCCTGTTTGATGCTCTTACATGCAGCATAAAGGTGAAAAAATGCTCCAGGTACCAGCACAATCACCAGCTGTAATGCCCAGAATACCTAAAATGTAGCAAAAAACATAATTGTCATGTCATTTGCAACTGCATCTGGACAACTAAAACGTGCACATATTGAACATTTTGCAAGTCTGGTTTTATATATATCAAATGTATAACCACTTAGATGACAATGAAGGCAAAACCACTATTGTGTTTTAATTTGAGTTCAGTTGGTTTCTGAAACATGAAGGTAGTTGTTAAGAAGAACAGAAAGGACCACTCCATATTTAGTCACAGATTAAAGGTTATTGAAAATAAAGTAGTAATGGAAAAGCTAAGTGATGATTAACCCAGTGAGTTACTAGTTCTTATATGAACAATTAATTTTTGCAGTTTATTTTCTTAACATCGAATTTCTACAATTAAAAAAAAATACAATTACCTGAGGAGTTATAGGCCTGAACTGGTTGTAACAGAAAAGATTAACCTCTCTCTTGTCTGGGTCACAGCTGAAATGCAAAGCCTCGTTTCCATAAACAGCAAAGCCCAAAACGCCAAGGAAAAACATACGGACTGAGCCAAAGAAAAGAGTGTGGAATTGGCCAATTACCGTTGGTGGCCTGAGCTGCAAATTACAGGGTTATTCAACATGAAAACAAAAATGAACAGCGTTATTATTGGAGACCTACTTCTCTTTTTCATTATCCAAAATATTTATTTTATTCTACTTGTTTTTAAAGGAGTTTGCCTCTTAAGGCTGCAGTAGCTTTCTAACAAAATAATGTTCTAGAACGCTTTGTTGTTGCAACGAAGTTTACAGGATCATTCATTTGTCTAGCAGTTATCAGTTAATTTGTTTCACCGCTTTTGTCTGCGTTCTGCTGTTG